AATGACCCTGTGTTCCAGTTGACCTGTCTTTTCCTGTCCTTGGACAACATTTTGATAGGTATGGCTTGACGCGACTGCAGAAACCGGGAACACCCCACAAGAGCATAAGCGATGGTTATGTAAATTTCTGGAAAGAGGGTGGCTTCTTAATAAGTATCCAGACTTAAAGTAACATAAATTCTAGCCATCACAAGATTTGGAAACCTCGGTTTGTCAAAAAAAAATTCAGCTAACTATTAACGCTCACACATACGACAGGATGAAAAGTTTGGCAAAGATACTGAGGTGGGGGAAAATGGCTTTCGAAGTGAACTGAATGATTTGTGGTTTTTATTATATAATTATCATTATTCTGTTAAAAAATTATAAGTATATAATTATTAAGGTGCTTAAATCAAAAATAAAAAAATCATTTTAATGAAATAAAAAAATGGGTTATGTTTCAAATTATTTGCGATAAATGAAAGACTGGCTGCAAAAGAGTTAGGGTTAGTAGTTATTATTATTTGTGTGGAATTGAGTTTGAAAATAAATAATAATTAAACTAATTAATTAATGAATATAATTTGAATAGCCGTATAGTTTAAAGTAATAAGTGATTTTACATTTTTTATTAGATGATATAAATTAATTAATAGAATTTGTGTATAATTAAAAAGTTATTTTAGTATTAAACTAAAAAAAGAGAGTGTTAAAAACATATAAGAAATTACAGACGGTTTTAGGAAAATAATTTAGTGCGATGATAGGAGAGCTTTGACATGAATCAATAATGGTTAATTAGACAAGGCATGACACTTGTTTTTTATATCATAAAATGTTCACTTGCTGCCTGATACATCCCACTCACTGACAGGTGCCATGATAACCAGATATTCAGTGTTATTCACTGCATACATATGGTAGCTATATAGAAGAGAAAAACAACAATAATCATAACATACTGTATTTCTACTGTGAAAATAACTAATGGAGTAATTTTGTTTCAGGAAAATAGAAAATAAGAAAGAATAAGAAAATACTGAATGATATTTTAGAGGTAAGAGGGGAAGTAGGAAATAGGAAAGAAAATGGCAAACTACATCCTCCAGCATAACAGAGACACAATATAGCTAAGATTTGTTAGTTATGTTTTTTAGAAAAAAATCATCTTGATGTCAGAAGGCAGAAAATCATGGTGCAATATTTGAATACTTTGCTGGGCACATAATGAAACTCCTGTTAACACACATGACATGCAGCGACAGGAGATAGATTTATAGATTCTTATTCAAGATTTTTATTCTTCTGTTTTATTTCTGCATGATTCACTTTCATGGTGATGCAGGAAATAATTTGTTATTATGAGGAAACTAATTGTTAGGTTGTAAATTCTGCTCATTTTAATTGGAAAAGAATAGACATCAATATGTTCCAACATTTTCTAACTGTCCAATTATAGGATGTTAGCTTTAACAACAGTTCAATTCTGATTATATCCTCCTTATATCTGTGTGTGTGTGTGTGTGTGTGTGTGTGTATGTGTGTGTGTGTGGCATGCGCCAACAGTCTTTTTGTAAAGTAAAGCCTGTTATACACAAATCACACATAGTGAAACACTGACACCTAGTGATTATTGTAGTAACCTGCAGTACTGCAGTATTAGATAATAACATGCTTTTTTATAGTGCATTTTGGAAGATGTTGCTCTTTTAAAAAAATATAATAATGCTTTATAAATACTAAATCTAGAGAGATTTGCAATTAAAATCCAGACTTAATCGGGTGCAAAGGGTAATTCAAGTTTGTTTTAAGATTAATTTATCTTAACCTTATCAGAGCAGGTGGAAAACATTCATTTATCTACCTTCCAGCACTTTAGCTAATGTTAATGGAAAACTTAAGCTAATGTGAATAGCCAGGCTATTATTGCAGAACCTAATTTAGCACTTTAATTACTTACTTGGTTTGGGTTGAGCTTTAGACAGATAAAGCTTCTCCATCCTCACATCCAGACGCAGCTTAGAATACATGCAAGGCATTGCTTAAAGGCATTTAATATAATACATCTTATAATGTAACACAGTCAGATACACCACCACCACTAAGGTCTCAAAAACAGAGGTGAATGAACAGATTTCTAACACACAACAACAAAAATAAAGATTATACGCTTCCAAAAGATACGATTTGTGGCAGGACTCTTGTACTGGATTGCAGTTTTAAGTTAAATTGTGTGTAAGACCCTAACTACCTAATCTATATTATTTTAAATTTAGTAGCCTATAAATGTCAAACTAAATGCTACATATATTTTAGTGAATGACACATTTTCATAGTATGGGGTTTATAGTCATTGCAGGGTTATATTCACCGTTTTTGTCCACATCTTTGGCCATCTGGCTGAGCTCTCTCTTTGTAGGATTTATTCCCATTAAACTCATCAGTCTCTCCAGCTCCAGGGTCTTCACATCTCCATTTCCCTCTTCGTCAAACATCTCGAAAACTCCTTTGTACTCTGTGATCTGCTCTTCTGTTAACTTGCTGGCCTGGAAGAAAATAAGGGAGTTGCAGTATTTGATATTAGCAGCTAGGAAGACATGTCAAGAGGAGTGAATATCAGCACAGCAAAGCTTCTGGAATTACGTCATGTTTAATTTAACAATGTTAATTATTAGAATTGACAAAATGTTTGTATGTAAATGTAGGTTAGTTCCTTTGTTATAAGGTTCTCACCATGTTTCCTTGTAATCCTGAAGACAAGCACTGTGACAACAGTTACAGTAGAATGAGAGGATGTCTGAGCCTTATCATTACTACATTTCTAATGCTCTTTCCCCAGAGCATAGAAGAGCATGCTTCAAGACCTTTTATGGCACTTAAAGGATGGACTCGCTAATCACCCATGAGGAATATTTGGAGACTGATCTCAGCTAACAAAAGGTATAGTTATATTGGAAAATCACTAGTTTGGTAAAGTTGTAATTAGATTAACTATAATGTTATTCTCAAACCAGGGCAAAAAGGGTCTGAAAGACAAGATAACAAAATGTATGAGTATCAGATGCATTCTCTGACCTCAACATCACATGGTCCACTTATGGGAACTGCAATTAACTTGCTGTTAGCCATTAGCAGGTGTTTGTGCAGCCCCCAGTGACCGTCATGAAAGCAGACAACCAAATAAGGAGGCACTTAACTGCAAGAAGTTATTTCCAACATTGCAATGGGAACATTAAGAATTTCCCATTTGTTAGTCGAGGGGAAGAATCTTTGTGTGCCTCATACCTCCAACGATACTCTGTGTATTCATAGAATTTGAGTGAAGATACTATACCAAGCAAACAAAAAGTAAAACTGTAACACAGACTTTGTCAAGATATTGGGACTTGATATTTATATTAAATTATAGTCAGCAAGTGAATAAATGAAACACTATAGTGTGTAATGGATATTGTCATGATGAGCATTTTCACTGAACCACAGATTAAGTCATATAAGTCAGAACCAGTTATAACAAAATATTGTTTTAGACATAGTAACGTTTGGATCAATCGTGTAGAAGAATGAATTAATAAATTAATAAAAATGCTGATCAGTTCATATGACCAGATTACATTCATTGGGCTCCCTCTGACCTACACAAAAAGAAAGTTTATATTATATATAAAAGGGTTTAAAAATGAAATGCTAAAGAGATGTTCTCCTAGATTTTCCCTGACAGTGTTAATTTACGTGCCGGTACTCTGAGAAGTTATGCATCTACAAAGTAATATTGTTTATGATCAGGCTAAACATTACGGAAATACAGTTTTCTTCCTGCATCTTTACAACCCAATTCATTAGCACGTCACGATCAAATGTTAATATCTAAATTCTACTGACAAGCTATAATGAAGATGACCCTGATGTGATTCCAGGTACCTGGTATAAAAAACATCCTAAGTATTCTTTATTCTGCACAGATACATTTTGTAGAAGAGGGTGGTCATAAATCTGTTTGACAAAACTTAAAAAGGAAGCCAAAAATGGCCTTTTGACATAAACAAACTCAAAATCACAATATATATAACAACCATACTATTCCATATCTTGCTAGCCTAAATGAACGTTGTGGTGAGATTGTTCTTTATGGTCAGTAATGAACTGTCAAATCTCAGCTTTTTATCTGCATTAGCAAGGATCATGAACCTTTGATCCAGTGTTTGGTGATGTAAGATAGTGTTGGATGTCGAGGATGGTTGGGTAGGCTGGTCTGTGACACAAGGGTGGGGTGGGTCTGCCACTGTGTCACCAGAGCCTACTTCAAACCGCAGACAGCATATCTAACAAAGCACAAATTCAAATATAAAAGCTAATTTTTCAGTTACACATTGCTCAAGTAAAAGCAATTATTTCATGTACGTGTGTTCCGGCGGTCGTATGTGGATGCTTCATATATTCACTTGTGTACTGGTTTCCTTAGGACTGGAATGAAATGCAAAACAAATTAAAGTTAGAGACTCTGAGGGACTTTTATATTCTGCTTTCTGATATTTTAATAATAGGAGTACTTTTGATTTATTTTTTTAATCAGCGTGTCTGTGCGCGATGACTGTGTGTAACTTAATTGTCTTCATTGTAATGTATCCTATATTAACTGTTCTCAGCTCTCCCTCATAAAAGAGACGGTAATCTCAACAAGACTTCCTGCATTAATAAAACTTAACTGACCACTATTTGTTTGAGGTAATGTACATACTGACCGCAAATATTTGTATGTTTGTCCAGCTAATTATTTAACAAATAAAAGCTACTGTGACGGCTAAATTTGTGACATTTCAGGGAAATGAACAAATGTTTTAGCTTCCTGTGCCAGAGTTTTAAAACTGCACCCCAAATTAACCAACAACTTGTTAGGCACTAAAATAAGACGTGCTTTTGAAAGAGTTCAAAAGGATATGTGGAATTATACTGGGACATGCTTAATATATATTAATATGTCCCTCTTTAAATCCCTCTTTCCATTATTTGCACAGTGAATCTACCTATGTAAGTTAGGCTACCTGAGAAACACAGTAGAGCACACTACACACAGTGCCATCAGAACACACGCTTTCCTAATTAGCTGCAGCCAGATTGTGTTGTTGACACTGCTATTATTAGCTATCTACAGAGAGAGAGAGAGAGAGCCCTGCTGAAATCATTAATACCACTTCCTACTTTGGGAGCCAAGTTGGGGCCCGACTGACTAACTGACTCAGCCTTTCAGTTAAGACTGGTTTGCAGTAAAAGAAAAAAAAAAGAAAAGAAAAAAACAAAAAAAACAACAAAGAAACGAACACCGTGTTCTCTTGGCTTTTCGGTCCACTCTAATGAAACCCACATGTCCAACAATGAGAAGTACTAATCCCCGTTCAAAGTGACTGATAACCCCTCGCATCTCCAGCTGTAGTTTAGATAAACACCAATCGAAGGTTCCCTAACCGCCGCCGCTGCTGCAGCGTGGGGTTTCCCAGCGCTGACTGCAGGGTTACCGCGCCCATCTCGTCGTTCGATGGCCGGACGAGAGTGTTACTACGGAAAGGGCCGATGTTAAAGCTTGGCAAAAGGGAGACAGTAGGCTGTCTTTTTGAATGAGGTATAGTGACTTTAAAGATTAGCTTTTTTTTCTTTTTTTGGTCTGCCTGGGCAGTGTCTTCTAGTACAAGGCTAGTGGGTGTGATTTCCTCCCCCCTCCCCTCCCCTCTCCGGTTGGTTGACTGAGGTTGTCAAGCTCCCCAGCCGTCGCCTGTGTTCGGGAAGGGCTGCTCCTCGGAAAACTAACGCTAGCTGGCTTGCTAGTTAGTGAGCTAGCGTTTGTGGTGCTCGTTGATGCGTGGATCGGAGCTATACGCCGTCTTGTTTTCCAGTCAATGCCAAAACGCAAAAACAAACGCAAATTGAACCAGGTAAGGTGAAAGTAACACGACGGCCGCGCTACTTCCACATCTTTTTCTCAGTGGCTGTTAACACCGCTGGCTTGTGAATTGTGGCGGAATTGAACTGTCCGGGGGTGGGGGAGCTAACTTAGCCCTGTAGTTAGCTGCGGTTAGCTCACGATAAGTTGGCTGTTTTTATTATAAGCAGACACAAGCAGCGGAGGCACAGGGGTTGTCTGCAGCGGCGGGTCCGTGCCGCTCACTATTTACGGCTAATAAGCAACAAAACCGACCTCCACGTATACCTGGTTTGTGCATCCAGTCATTAGAGACAACCAGAGTTCATGTTAGCTCCCTGGCCGGTGAGGCTGGATGTCAGTGATGGCCCAGCGGTGCTTCTCGGCCTAAAATACCCTACTTTTAAAAATAAACTGTGTAGTCTACAGCCAACATACACCGGGGGACGACCGCGGTGGTAATGTTAGCGCCTTCAGCTTAATGGTTAACTAGTACTTTGCTTTGTGGTCGAAATGTGAAGAGATGTTGGTGTGAGTTGATGATGACACACTGGGTTGGGCTGAACAATAAACGTCCCGTAAACAAATTAACAGCCAATATCGGTTATTGGCGATACAAGGCCAGTGAGCGCGACCACTCAGCTCGGAAACTGCACATGAATATATATCGTTATATTTACAACAACCTCGCTTTATTACCGTGAGTTATTGTGGCCGCGTTAACACCCTTTTTTTTTTTTTTTTTTCTTTCTCCTCACAAGCTGAACTAATAAGTTAGCACATCGCTGCCTTCCTGCAACGAAACGGCCGCGCCGGTGCAACGCCTTTAACTTGGGTTAGTAACGATAGTTATTTACCGCAAGTGAACTATCTGGCGCTTATGCAGCTATGGATGATAGCTGGTAATCTACTTTATGGAAAAATCACCCGCATCTGTTATTGCATTTCTTGCTTATACTGAAGTCAAACAGGCCATCGCCGCCCGACCTTGCAGCTTTTTACAGGCTCAGGTCCATTACAGGATCCGAGAGCCAAATAAATAAACTGTAATCAAATCAACCGTGCACTGTCGGCTTTAACGAGATTGTTCGTATGTAAGTAAGTGGATTTCTGGAGGCCAAGCAGCCTCCGAGTTTCTCGGTTTGCCCACTGTGTCGGCTCAACAGCTAGCTACATAGCTCTCCGTGTAATTGCGGAAGAGCTGCTGAGTGTACCCTTAATGTGGCTGCGGGGTTTCTGCGTTAAAAGCTGCCGGCTCCATTCGGTTTATCCACCGTGAAATCCAGCGAGTCTCGCGTTAGATCACCTTTGCTCGTTTACCGGGCGTTGTGGTGTCGCCAGTGACATTGTGTGTGATCTGAGAGTGCATCGGTTTCTGGAGCTCTGCTCTGCCTGCAGGCCTACACTGTCGAGCCTGCTAGCGAGCTAACTAGCGGACAGCTAGTCTGCAAGATGGCGTTTAGCTGCATCTTCTCAGATTTCCATCAGTGCAAGTCACATTATCTTTACACTGTGCAGCGTTGAATAAATGTAGAGTTTTTATGACACATAGTCACATACTAATAACTGTAATCCGTGGTATTTAGCCACATTATGGTGCTGAATTGCAACAAATGTTCTTCTAAAATATATGCAGAGTCTCGGTAACCCAACCCCAACAAACTGACTGAAGCAGCTATCCAAATACAATGCAAACTAGACTACTGTTGTAGGCAAATCACAGTACTGCACACAGCGACTAAGTCAACTATCAGTATGTTACATACAGTGTTAAACCAGTGCACAGACTGCACTTACAACATATACATGCTGGTTGTATTTAGTCTGTTGCTTTCTAATATCTGCTGTAGCTTCATTCCTGTTTCTATAAAGTGTAATTCTTCACAAAATGCACCTTCATCTTCGTTTATTAAAGCAGGAGAGGTACTGATTGTACACATCTGGTCACACTGGACAACAGAGAGAGAGAGAGGGGCTGTATTAGTGATTTCAGCGGCAGTGTGAACATCCAGGCACTTGCTTTAAGCATGTTGTGTGTAAAAGAACTGAGATTAAACTCATCCTTTTATGATTAGGAAAACATATTTCTAATGCTGGGGCTAGCTTTGCCAGCTGTTTATGTTAGTGGACATGGATAGGATTAGAGACTCATTGAATGAGGATTTTAGCTTTTAGGATTACAGAGTTGCTCAGTGATATTGCTGGTTATGGCCTTTTCTATGATCCAGCTTTAAACCTGTGAAACATTGCATTATCCTCGTCTAACAGTACAGAGAAGCTGACTCGTCCTTTGACAACAGATGTAAACTATCGCAGAGAGAGGTGCTTTTTTTAAATAAAACTGTAAATGTAGGAGACACCTTTTGAAAGTAGCAGGCACATACAACCCTTAAGGGACCGGAGCACAGCGAGTGAGCTACAACTGCAGGCTGTTTGCCACTGCTCATTGTTTATCATGCAGTCAGCTGACCCTGATCAGGCGCTTGGAAAGGAGAAGTGATGAGGGAGAGGAACTCCTTAACTGTAAGCATCCACAGAGGTCAATGGGAAATAAGATTTCTTAATGTGGAATATTTAAAACTCAGATCTGCTCCAGGACATCCCACCTCTTTGATTTACTTTTGTATTTTAATGGTTTGGCATATAAACAGGCGAGAATGAAAATGAATTGCAACTTGTAATTATTAGTTTGAAAACAGAGTGTTTGTGAGTTTGATCCGTCGCTGAAGAGTATTTTCAGATTGCTAACTGTTCATTAGTTCATTTAGCAGTGAACTCAAAAGCCTTTCATTTGGTTAATCATAACTGTAACCGAATGCTTAATAATAAGTACAGGGTACAATTTAGATAGCGTTGTTTTGTTAATAAATCGTTGTTAAAATATACATATAAAATGACACGAGTACAGTGTTTTAGTGCTTTTTGACTGTTCATGACTCCCTGTTAATATATATAATATAACATATGTAAGGATAGAAAACACAAGATATTCATCAAACACTACTGTGGGCATTATTAAATATCTGAAAAGACAATTCAGCACAACTGATTCAACTTGTATTTAATTTTCTCACATAAAATCAATCAACATCAACTTGAGGAAAGTTTAGACTTTGTGAAATATGAACTGTATTTATAGAGATTGTCAAGGTGAGGATGGCCTTCTGCTGTCACTTGATAATACTGCATAATAATTACATTCCATGACACATTTATTTATGGATTAAGGCGTGTATAAGAGGATAACCTGTGGGTTAAAAAGGTCAACCAATCAGAGGACCTGAAGGATAACATAGGCAGGTAGAGAAGATTCAGTCCTGAAACCTGCAGTCACATAGGCCTACTGACTGAAATACACCAGGTAAGATAACTGGGAACGCAAGGTGGATCGAACTGAACGGGTCAAAGCTATTTCTCTGCGTTAAATCTGAAATAGATTGCAGTTTTATTTACGTTCATTGGATGTGCTAATGATGATGATTTTTACACGGTAATGTTGCACTTTGAGCAGTTTCATGTATTATGCAAACCTCTGTTATAATGTTTGTTTGTTTCAGGATACAAGGTGGCAATTAATCTCATAGAAGGCAGCCGGCACAGACTTTAGACGATAAATGATGAGAGTTGCTATGTACTTAAAAACACTAAAATAATGGTTTCTGATAGTAATCTTCCCATGTCAGGTAAAATGTCTTTAGAAAGTAACCCTTTGAAGTCATTTTTAAAAGTGTATAACCTTTAATCTGTAGATAATTAATCCTAATCTAATTAACTGATAATGTCAAAATTATGTGTGCATATTCATATTTTGTTTGCTAGCCAGTTGTCGGGGTTAAATTATATTGTCTAATTTAGTACCACAAAAATGTGGTCTAATTTTTTAACCCTACACACACACATTAAGAATATTACTCTATATTGTCCTAATGTACTTCTGTTCGACACACTTGAATAATTAATTAGATGGATCTGAGCACAAGGGAATTCATTTTCCAAGGTAACTGGAGTTTATCAATCAATAACTATTTCACAAACTAATACTGTTGTAAGTTGCTTTGGATAAAACTGTCAGCTAAATTAATATAACGTAACCACGGACCTTTTTCAGAAGGAGACAGTTCATTCATTAAAAGCTATTCACAAATGCTGCGGTCATGTTTTAAAACTGCTGTTATTGCTTTAAATAAGAAGACTTGGACTTTGCATGCGTCATCAAACAGTT